TTGTACAATAATTACCAACCGGTGCTCGTAGATGTATACGCAAAAATGTATAAACTTGATTTGTGTATTGCTAGTAAATGGGAGAGAGTTGAGTAAAATGTAGTTTTTAGTATTGATTCTTGCATTAGCCCTTTGATATTACACAATGGAAGTATTTATAGTAATGCATATGAAATGGGAGCCCTTGGATGAAGTGGCATGTGGCCTCATCTCTTTAGTCCAAACATCTTTTCCTAAATATGGGGCTTGACTTGCTAGCTTACGGCACATTTATTGCTTGTGCAGGGCCTCCATGCTAGTGACAAGACTTGACCTTTATGCTTATGACAGACATTCCATCAATCATTCGAATAGGATCCGTGCAGGCGATCTCTTGGGAGAAGTGACCATGGAGGATGCTTGTGGTTGAGGCTCGCGCATCAACTTCGGGGCTTCGTCCATTTGAGGACCTCAGCTACAACCAAAGGCTTCCAAGCCTCGGGCAATGGGCCTCGGTTAGAAGCAGCTCGGATATAACCCACCTCGGCAATATAGGCCACCTCGGTAGGAATGCCACGTGGATCAGGATGAGTGGGCCACTGGCCCAGGTGGGTAGGACAGGGATGACAACACGCAACAGTAACCATTTGGGCTATTAACTCCTATATTTATTACTAATTTGTAATTTTTTGAAATTTTGGGGTATTAGTTGCCATTAATTCTTTTGTTTTCTATTCTATTCTTTTTCTTTTATTTGAATAGAGGGCAAAATCGTCAAAAAACACTGAAAAGGACCTTCAGCGCAAGAAAGGTGGTAAATAAGGGCAAAAATGCCAAAAAATGAAAGGTAGAGACGTTTTTCACAATAACCTCGAAAGGTAAGGATGTTTTGCGCCAATTACCCTTATGCTAAATACCCTAATCATAATCGATGAGTATATCCTTTAATCTTTAACAATATGAGCAAGTATTAAGAACTTTAACTATTAAAAATGACATTGGCCGAGGAACCCAAAATGCTATCAAAGTAAAAGATCATTGGTTAACAACGCCAATGGTCCTTAAAGTTTTTAGTAATTAAATCAATGATTAAGATAATAGTCACTCAAGTTTTTAACTGTTATACTAATGGCCAATTAATTAAAAACATTAATGTTAAATTCTATGTAACCCATGAAGTGCTAGCTTGTCACAAAATAAAGTTATTTATTACATCAAGTTAGCAACATTTGTAGTTAGGAATTGGATATTTAAACACGTTCAAAAGGAAAAAATGTAATATGACTTTAGTTTTGGTTGAATTTTTTTGTTTGACTTATGGTAAACACACTACGATTTTTGCTCACTTAGAATAATAAATAACGTCATTTGGTGACACGTTGACACATCATAGTAACACATAGAACTTAACATTTTCAAGTGAGTCTAAAGCGTTAAGTGGATCAAACCAAGCACTCGACTTTTCCACCATCGAGCTCGACTCAGCCTATCGAAGAGCCAACTCATACGCAAATGTGACGCGTTGATCACGAGTTGACTTGCTCCAAAAATCCTAGGCTTGGCTTACTCACCAGCTTACCTCCAGGTGGGGCGACCTAAGTTGCTCGAGACTCACAATTTTTTTTTTTATTTTAAAATTTCAATTTTTTTTTTTAATATTTTCAGTTCTTCAATTCTCGAGCAAAACAATGCGAGTTGACGAGTGGACTTGTGTGAGTCAACAAGTGGATCGTACGAAAAAAATTCAGCTTGACTCGAATATTTTAAAAATGGAATTAGATAAAACATTTATTAACATATTTACGAATCTCGTAACACAAATACAAATCCCAAACAGGAAATTGAAAATAGCTCTCCAATCACATTTTTAAGACAACTTGGTAATCGTCAGCAGTCTGGACAATAGAGCCATCTGATTCAAAGTTCAATGTATTTTCATTGGATAATGAATTAAGATGCTTGTCATAATCTAAATCGATGATGGTAAAATTCATGATTAATACAATTATTTTTTAAATTTACATTGAATATTTAAATTCCTTCAATTATAAATCTACGTGAATTTATTATTATTATTATTATTATTATTATTATT